TCCTACTTGACTATATCTAAGTGAAAAATTTGACAGTTTGATGTTTCTAGAATATTTTTGAAGTGCTAGTAATTGCATGTGCACGAGGATTTAAATGATAGATTATATAGTTGAAGAGTTGTGCATTGCTTTGTCCGACTCGTTGTGTGTGTTAATCCATATAGCCAGCTTCTCGCGTCATCAAAATTTTAATGCACTAACGAATTTTCACGTATAAATGCAGGATTAACCCAACTCGCCTCTTTAAACGTCTCAAATTCTCGGGTAACAAGTTCTGGTCTGCAGCATCTGAAACCACTCAAGAATTTGATGTCACTAACTTTGGAGTCCTGCAAGGTGACTGCGAGTGACATAAAGAAGCTACAGTCGACCGACCTCCCAAACCTGGTGAACGTTAGACCTGAATAGAGCGTATTGGAAGATACTTGGTTAACGTTTGGAAAGAACCTGTACATATGAATACAAATAAAGCCATTGCATCTTCTGTATTGTACATATGCTAGTCCCTGAAGTTCAACCAGAAGGTGGTGGTGGTACAGAAGAAGATCGACTTCAGAGTTCATCGGATGAAAGACATGTAAATATGCTTCCTTTGCATAAACTAAGACTTGTGACTTTAAACTTGTGTGTGTATATATATGTTGCTATGGTGATCCGTAATATGTTGATTTTGAAGTACATTTTTCGGTGTGTAGTGTTGGAGGGACTATCTTGTTACTTTCGACATTTTGATGGAAAAATCGACGAATTGGGAATCTAAGATTTTACGAGGTTGAAAGGTTAAGAACGAAGAAGTAAATTTGAGACCAAATTTTTACAAGAGAGCCCACTAAAACATAAATAGAGTTGAGTGTTGGATTTAGAAATAAAATAGTTTGAAGTAATCTAATAATTGAGACAAGCTGTCAGATAAAATGAATGAATATGTGCAAAAACTGAAGTGGGAGCTGGGCCAAGCGCCAATCAATGAAACCATGTCAAGGAAATGACGCCCCTTACCTAATATTTGATATAATATTTATAAATCATAACAGATGGCACATAAATATGTTTCTGCAAATTATGCATATCTGGATGAATTTGTTGAATAGTGAATGGAAAATTATTAGGTCGATTAACAAAAATTATGTGTTTCTACAACATGGGAACATTCATACCGGATAGTTTCAATAAAAAAAGAAAAAAAAAACAAACAAACAGAGAGAGAATGATGAACGTTTATTTATTATTATTATTTTTTTTTTCAAAAAGCATTGCTCAATGAAGGTTTTTTGAATTTTGAGATGGTTTAGAAACAACAATAAATGACCAGCTTAATATTAGGGTAATTAAAATTAATTTCAGTTACAAAGAATATATGGAGTCTAAATTCGATATATAGTATTTTCCAAAATATCAACATGTCACAAAGTAATACTTGGATTATAAAAATGACAAAGTAAATCTTGAATATATATTTAGTAATGATGTAGATATGAAAATTTCCCATAAATGTTCCCCTCCCATGAAACATGGGCTGTTGCATGTGATCAACGACTACCATTGCTTTCATTACTTGTATGCATATTCCGATTGAATATTTGACACGTTCAACTCGACATAAATGATAAATTTGTAAAGAAATATGGAATTGTCATGTTTGAAAAAACACTTGATTGTCCTACCAATAATAAAAGTTCGTTTTAAAAGTTTTTCAATTATTGGAACTTCCTCGTTTACGTCGAGTTTTATCTGATCCATATTACCAAACTTGAACAGAAGGCCCTGATACCTCAACTTCCGCAATGGTAATGGAATTTGAAGGCAAACGAAATTATTAAGTCGAAAGAAAGAACTATTGGACACTTGTTTTAGTCATTTTATCATGTCGCAGGTGTACCTACAATTGAAAAGTTCAGCTAGATGACCAATATGAAATTTCTCGTGCTCACTGGAGTTTATTACAATAATTCTTAATTTTCCAAATTTGAACTTAATGGTAGTTTGTATTCCACTAATTCCAAGTGCAAAGTTAGACGCATGTGTTGATGGCCCTGAATCCCAAACTCTATATATATTACGAAGTTTTAAACAATTTTGGTTTTATCTATTTATTATGGAGGTGTTTGATAGTCATTTTTATATAAAAATGTATTTTAGAATAGTAAATTGATGTGAAATGTGTGGTTGAGAAATAAGAAAAAGTTTTTTATTTACGTATAATAATATTTTAATAAAAAAATGTATGATTGAAAAGAAGAGAGAGAAAAATACATTTTAAACTTCAAAACTCATCAAATAATACTTAATTTATTTTTTTTATTCCAAAAGAGGATTCCTATGTTGCAGATTTGACTTTAAAAGTAACACAATCTGTTACCAATATTTATAGCAATTTCTGTCCAATCGACGTACAAATCCATAAATCTGGTCAGTCATTTTATCGTGTCCCAGGTGTACCTACAATTAAAGACCATTTGCCTCCAATTAATTTCAATTCCATTATATATTTTTTTTCTATTTTTTATTTTCAATCACACAATATTTTTTAAAACAATATTACACGTAAATCGAAAAATTTTCCTTCACTTTCAACCACATATTTTTCAAAAAAATATATTATTTCATCAATTTCCATTTTCACAAAATTGGGACCAAACAGGGGATAAATATAAAGGTCAAAAAGCACGTACAAAATAAAGCAGAAAATTCAATAATACTAAGTTTGGAAAAAAAGGAAGGAAAAGAAAACGATTATCCCAAGTCACCTGTTTGAGTAGCAACTGATGCTGATGCATAGATCCCTGATGTGGATTGATTGATTATCTACAAATTTGAAATTCTAACATTTCACTGCAAAATCGCAAAACGACATTCAATTCACAACACAATCCAGAATTTAGAAAAAAAAAAAAAAAAAAGAAGAAGAAGAAGAAGAAGAAGAAAGAAATCAACTCGAAAAATGATAACGGTGCGTTTGCTTCTATTAGTTCTTATTTTCAATTAATTTCTAGTTTACTGACTAATTCAGATATTCTGATTACTGTTGTTAACATTTTTTTTTAAAAAAATTAATAAAAGAGAAATCATGAAAGTAAAATCACTCATTCAAATGGCAACTTCTTCAAAACCGCGGCTCAACCATACTGGGAACTATACAAAACACGCGCCGAAACATAGAATTCAATCTTGAGCTTTGGACATGATCGAGAGTCGGCTCGGTCGCGGCTGGAAATCGTCACGGCGGCGCAGATGATGTGACGAAGGTCGAATCAAAGCCGCTAGAGCTCTCTTCACTAAATCTCCTTCGACAGTTCCGATTCTAACCAGAGAATTCGTCATCGCCGATCTCCGCATATTTAAATGGTGGCTCGACCGAAAAGAAGTCTGGCTATCACTAGCGTACCCACGGCTTCTATTGTTGTTCTTGTGTAGACTGCACCGGAAGGACCCCGGGTGCGTCGTCGGGGAACACATACACGTCTTCTTTGGACATGAATTAAACAGCCGGGCATGGGCACCCTGATTTCCATGCCGATTATGTGAAGATGCTATTGAGTGGCTGTGTGAGGTGGAGAACCTTACGGTGGGTGAAGGGGAAACGGATCTGCGGATATTGACTCGAGTCGGGCTAGAAGGCCGGGTCATGAATGATTCGGCCCTGGTCGACACGTAAGGTGTAGAGGAATTAGAGATTGACGAGGAGCAGAATCGACCTGACGGGGATAAGGAACGTTGGAAGTTTCTGTGCAGAGTTGTACTCTGCGATCTGGTTCTTGATGACGAGTCTTCCAATGATTGTACCATGGAGAATATAAAAAATATTAAAAAAGGAAAATGAAGAAAGAGGGACTCTGTTTTTTTGGGTCTTTATTTTGGCAAACCCAATAAAAGCTGAAGCGCGGGTTATGTAGTAGAGGGAGGCGATGGCAGACTCGTAAAAAACTTTAAGCTTAGGGATTTTTAAGTATAACGGCCGTTTGGAGTTAGGGTTTCCAAAGGGTTGAAAATTTGAAATGACCCCACAAAGCTATGTGCTGTTTATATGCGACATGTCACGCGCTGTTTTTATGTCGTGATTCTGACGCGCAGCTGATACTAAGCCTTTGTTTGAAGATTTTTCTTATCAAAATACATTTTTAAATAATGATTTGATTTTGATCTCATTTCAATTATATATTTTTTTAATAAAATAATATTATAAATAAATTCAAAAAACTTTCTTTATTTTTAATCACACGTTCTCCATAATAACACTTTCAAAATATATTTTTCTAAAAAAAGGGCTCAAACAAAGCCTAAACACAGTCGTACGTAGGGGTGGGCGCAGTTCGGTTCGATTCGGTTCTCTTTAGAACCGAACCGAACCAATCTTTTCGGGTATCTAGTAAATGGAACCGTCGGGTCCAAATATAATTATGGAACCGTTCGGGTTCGGTTCCATTCGATTCGGTTCGGATCGGTTCGGTTCCGTTCGGTTCTGTACTATAATTAAATTTTTTAACATTTATAACAACGTTATATAAATACGACTAATGATACATTCAATAGTTTTGGAATGTCAGAGATTAGTAAACTATCTTGTTCAAATGATCGCTACGATCAAAGCTTCAGTCGGGGAAAGTCACGGCTTCGATCGGAGGTCAGAGTATCGGCCGACGATTGTATAGGTTTTGGAATATTAGATAGGCTGCGAGAGTGAGTGCGAGAGTCGAGACAACGTTATGCACTTTATTGTAGGTGCTTAGGGTTATTTAGTGGATTTGATTTGTTTGGCTAAGAAATGAAACAATAAAATGGGTAATTGGGCCAAAAATTA